GTTGTTAGTGCTATTCACTATCTCTGAAAGTGGAAAAACTATTCGTTCACTTCCTCATTAATGAATCCATTCATTCAGATAACATTAATTATTTACTAGTGCCCAGTACTACTTACTGCTAGGCCATGAAAGGCTTATGAAGAAAAGTAAGTTATAGCTATTAGAGGACATTTATAGAAGGCAGTTATGGATAAGATAACCAACCAAGTAATTGATTTTACAACACCATGTATAAGTGGCCAGTATAGATGTTAAGTAGTGAAAGCATAACTAGCTTCCTGTGAAATACCATATACATCTGTGGATCCCTATTTCATGTGGTAAGCTCTTTGACATATTACTAAGATAGTAATATCCCAATGACCACTTGGTTGGATTTTAGAAGCGTTTCAGTTAGGTTTATATAAAATGGAAAGAAAAAAAAAACTTTACCAATCAGAAGAGATAGAGAAATATTGAAGGGAGTGAAGTATTTCACATTTTGGTCAGTTGCATTTGAAGTGATACATTTTAGACTTTGATTTAATTTTGACCTTAGAAAAGGAAAAAAGTAATGATACTATAGATGTGGTGAGTATTAATAAAAATTTTTAAAAATTCAGTTGATCACTTACTGATGGGTAAACAAGAGAGTCTGGGCCAACTATACTTGTGGCAAATTAGTAGAAACATCAACTTAAGTTTCATTAAGGTGTCAAACACTGATAACATAATGTGAAATTTGCCTCATTCCACTATTTGTACTACTCCCTCAGGAAGTAAAATGGAAAATTTCCGTCTTACACATTTAGTTCCCCTCTTTAATTTGGCAAACACTGATTTTTCCACTGCACTTCTCCCTAACTGGAATCTTGCCAGCTGGTGTGTGAGTGTGTGTGAGTGTGTGTGTGTGTATATGTGTGTGTGTGTGTGTGTATGTATGTGTGTTAATAACTAGGCATGCTATCACTGGTGCTATTAACTTGACTTATGTGCATTTTGGGATTGAAATTTGTTCCTCTCTGTAAACACTCTGAATGAGTAGGAATCTGACCATAGTTCTTAGCAAGTTTGTAAATGGTTGCTGTGAGATCACTCAGATTGACCCAATAATTTGCCTGAAGTGTGGCTGTCAGAATGTTCCTTCCAGGAGCAATCCATTGCTTCAGCTATCAGATAGCGAATGTTCCAATTTTGACTCTAACTTTATAGGAGCAACTACACAGGATCTGTGATACCTGAGCCTTTTATGATGCTGATCCCATTATCTGGACTTGTCTGCTTTGCTTATTGCTTTTTTTACCTGTTCTTTGAGGTCCAGGTCATTACATACTATATTGTAGGAATTATTCCTGCTGCTCCCACACACTCTGCATGCTTATGCTCATCCGACGTTGATTAAAAGATAAATATTAAATATAAATATTGTACTTTATACACCCTCAATATTCTTTGCAAATATTCAGTGCAGATATACCATTATTTTGTAGGATAGCAATGTTGAAAGACCTTGAGGCTTCTAGACTGGCAAACTTGACTCTGTCTCTGATTTTTTTTAAAAAAATATATTTTTTAGTTGTAGACAGACATAATATATTTATTTATTTGTATGTGGTGCTGAGGATCAAACCCAGTGCCTCACACGTGCTAGGCAAGCGCTCTACTACTGATCTACAACCCCAGCCCTCTGATTCTTCTTAACTGTTTACTGAGCTTCAACATACTTGCTTCTAGATGAAGCCTTACTAACGGCCATACAGTTACTTGGAGGAAAGATAAGAGTATATATACAAAGAGCTCCCATTCCTTGAGGGTTTGCTATAACCCAGACACTGGGCAAAAGGTTTCATGTAACATTCTCATGTACAATGCTTACAAGTGTTGATTACTTGGACAGAGTAGGTACTCACTGAATATTTCTCAAATGAATGAGAACTGGACTTGAGCTGGCAGCAGGGCTCTGTCTGCTGAGTCAGCTGCCCTGAGTCAGTGGTTGAGACACGCACAACTTGGGTCTCTAGAGAGGGAAGATACTGACTGGGCTGCAGTTCCCACCTATCTGGCAGAAAGACTGCAAGGACACGATTCCTAAGCATGATGGAGAGCTCACAGGGAGGGGAGAGTATAATTTATGAATGATATGACTTCCTTTCCCACCGTCTCTATTACCCCCCCCACCCCCTGCTGACCAATTCAGTCCAGAAGAAATACAGATCTCATTCTGAGTCACTCTTGTGTTGTATTGGTAGCACTACATTTTTATTAAATCTCATGGAATATAATAAATTTGTAGACCTAAGTTCTTGGCAAAACAAACAAACAAACAAACAAAAAATCAAAACAAAACAACCCCCCCCCCCAAAAAAAAAGGGGGTGGGGGTGGAATCCAACCAACCAGAACACTGTACTTATTTACTGGTAAATGTTTTCAGAATGTTAAAAGTTCATGAAAGCCTCGCTTAAATAAAATGCCATTACTACCCCTAGGCTTATGTAAATTAAGAGAATTTTGGGGATCTCCAGGTTGATGACTCATAATTTTCCCAGTGTTTTAATCCAGGAGTCACTGATTAAAGAAGGGTGTTGCACTATATTTTGTCTCTTCCAACTATGCTATCCCAAGTGGGAAGTTTGGGAAGCTTCTTGAAATCCCTGAGATACCATTTCTTGCATCAAAATCATTGTATTTGAAATTATATTTAGAGGATGTTGGAAAGGATTATTTTGTTTTTTAGCATCCATCCAGGCTTGTCTTGTTCCTGGGGATCAGTTGAACAGCACAAGAATCTGATGAATAGAATTTCCCATGATGCATCAAAGGGTCAATGTTCCCATCTTGCTCTGCTCCTAAAGGCTGGAGTTAATGAGGAGGAGTTTTTATGTGAATGTCAGGCATGTTGCAATAACTAGCCACAATGGAATAGTCATGGCAATTTCCACCACTTGGTTTCTTTGTTTTTGTGATGTTGCTGCATGCTTCATTTTATGAGTATTTTCTTATGTGTGGTTGAACCCATCAATTGCCATCTTGGGTTTGGGTATTTGTATTTAAAAGATGAAGAACAGAGGGAGAAATTGGAAAGTTGACAGAATGACATATCACAAATACTTATTAGTTTATTTTCTTCCTTCTACTTCTGCTGACAGATATTCTGATGATTAATATTCTGATGAGTTTGTGTCCTAAGGGAAGGGAAAAGAGAATCATAATAAGACATATGAAAAAGTATTACAAAAACTGGACTTCTTTGGAGGATGTTACTATTGTAGATTAAAACCAAGTCTAGTAATATTCCTGCTGCAATAAGGTATATGAAAATTGCTAACAATCTTTTTGGTTTGGCTTTCTTGGGTAACTAACTAATTTGTGTCCTTGAGGGCTGCTATCTTGATCTACTACTTGAATGCTAACCTATATTGAAATCAGAGAAGAACAGACTCTAAGGACTGGTGGCATTCTAAAAATGTCTGTGGCCTCTTCATTCATTTAATTCACAAGTTTGAATAATACTCTCACTACAGAAAGGCCTAGATGGAAGACGATACTGTGTGCAATACATACGCTGATTCCTAAGATAGAAAGCTTTGTGTCTGTGACAATACATGTGGGGATCCATTAAAAGCAGGCCTTCTAAGGACAACCTGTGGATTAAGTCTAATAAAAAGGCTGGAGATGGGGGTCACAGTTTAGGCATGCTATGAAGCTGAAGACGTAGAAAATCTAAGGAGAAAGCTACCACTGCACAGATGCACCACTATACAGATGCAAGCCTGTGTTCTGTTTGATCCTCTTGCCACATTTCCATCATATTCCTCTCTTCCTTGTCTTATACTTTGAAAAGATACCACAGACTTCTTTTCTGCCTCACCCATTCAATTCTGAAATTGTCATGTGCACCCAATCACATTTATTTTGCTATTTTTCACTTTTTAGCTTCTACTCTATTTTATTACCGACTATATATTTCTCTTGTTCGTTATGATTTGATATCAAATCACTGTTTTTATGTTAAAAAAGTGCAACAAATAAGGCCAGGAAGAAGGCGAAATGTCTTCATGCTGTTCTGAAGTTCTTGGACTCGCTGGCGCAAGGGAAGAAGAGAGACTGAGGAAGGAGAAAGAGACAGAGAAAGGAGAGAGAGAAGAGAAGAGAACAGAAGAGAGGGGAGGAGAGGAGAGGAGAGACAGAAACGCGTCTAAAGGGAGACACAAGCTCGGCCTTCGAATTGGCCAGCCTGGTGACCAGCAAGCCCGCCCCCGTCCCACCCCCTCCCCCTCTGGCGCTCACACTCAGGAAGCAGCTGGCTACAGGCCGGCCCTCACAGCCGCACACATCCACAATCCTCGCCCAGCAGCCTCCCTCCCTCCCTCTTCCCCTCTCCCTGCAGTCGCGTCCGCAGTGCGCCTCCCGGGCAGCCCAGAGCGCGGCGCGCACGGGCACCAGCACCCGAACTGCCACCGCCGCCCCTCCCAGCACCCCGAGTACGCGGCGGGCGGTCCTCCAGGCTCGCACCGTGGCTCCCCCGCCACGACCCGCCGGCATCAGTAGCCAGCATCCCGGGTCTGGCCCCTACACTCACATCCCCTGGCCCAGGGGGAGGATGAGCAGGACAGGCGAAGCACAAAGTCTCAACTCAACTTTTTAAAAACATTATTTGCGTGTGTATGCGTGTAGCAGGGAGAATGAGCTGATGCCGAGGGTCCAGCCACCCGCCTTCTGCCTTCTCCTCCCCCTGCCGCCACTGCCCTCTCAGACGCGCGCGCACACACGGCACTTGGGCCGGGTTTCAGCGCTCCGTCCCCTGGCTTGGATGGGAGTTTTCATTTCCGAAGGAGGCAGAACCCGTGCAGCGCGTTGAAGGGCTGGAGCCCCAAGTTACTTCTCGCCAGCCCTGGCCTCCCGCTGTCATTCGCGCCAGCTGGCCGGGGGAAGGGACCCTCACGCCGAGCTTTGTTGTGGAAATCCTGGTTACCTGGTAAGTGGATGCCATAGGAACTTTGTTCGCTGGTGAGAGACTAGGAGAAACAAGGCGCTAGAGAATGTGGGGGAGTGAAAGCTCAGAGACGCAAACTAGGGATTAGAAATAGTTTTCCACGCTGAGCCAGTGGCATTCGCGCGGGTTTAAGGATACGCGCACCCCACCCCCCAGATTTGTAGGTCTTTTAGGGATCTACACCTACTGAGACTGATAGTAACACTCAAGTAGGAATCAAACTGTGTTCTTTCAGTTAGTTGCCTAAGAGCCTAGTGTAGAAGACAGGAAATCCACAAGGTGTTAAAGTTTCGCTAATTAGGAAGAGTTTTTGTGTTTTCTGTTAAACTCCAAGTTCTAGAGGGCTACATAATAAGGGCAAGTTACAGGACGCACGGGAACTGTGCACGCCACCCTGTCCCCATTGAAGGGAAACTTTGGCGAAGTGAGAATTGATGGGGTGACGTGAGGTCTTTCGCGCACACACCGGGCTGTGGTTGCCTTTTCAAGTTCCACGTGCTTTTGGAGCTCCACGAAGGTTGTTTTCCAGCTTGTGCATCCCCCAAGTGTGTGTCCCCATTGTTTCTGGAGGTCCTCAGTTTGGGGGTACATATACTAGTCGCTGGGACCGGTCCAGTTATCCGCAGCCTCCAGGTCTGTAACTATAACCTCCCACGCTGCAAAAGCGCAGACACATTCAGACACGAACACTCCCCGCCGGGTTCGTCACCTCGCGTTTACATTTTTATGGGACTGGACAAAATGTCAGCTCTGTTTGGAAAATGTCTCAGTCTCGAGGACTTTGTCCTGCATACAAGTGCAGTCCCTATAAATGACCCTGTGTGTATTTTGAAGTCGGCCGGGCCGCTCTCTGGAAAGCGTGAGTGAGCCAGCAGGGTTCTGTCCTAGACACACACCTTGCCCGGAGCGACAATTCCAAGTTACTCACTGGAGCTGACAAGTCACCTCGGGGACAAGGAAGTCACCCAAGTGTCTGGAAATCTTGGCCCCTGTGGATTTGTCATCCAATGGATGATTCAATTAGGTACCTGGGGGGAGAAACTTTAGGGAAAGCTTTTTCTGGTTCCGTAAGTCGAGCCCTTAGGCTCCTTAGAGGTGTTTAGGAGTCGAGAAGAGAAAGGACACCCCAGGATGGGCGCACTTGCACGGCGTGGGAGGGTGGCGCTCAACGCTGGCTTGCGGGATTTGTGCTCCTGAGTGCGGCGAGCCCGGCAGCGGTTCCAGGCTCTGGCCGGGCCGGGCAGTGCGAAGGTACCCACCGCTCGGGTTTCCTAGCTGGCAGCCCGCGGTGGAGCCCTTTCAGTCCCCGTCTTACTCGGGACGGGGTTGCACAACAGGAAGCCGGCACGAGTTTGTTTTGTTTTGCTGCGTTCGCTCGCTCGCGGACGCAGCCGAGGGTAGGGGCGGAGGCGGCGGGGGAGTGACAGGGTCGCGGCAAAGCGCGCCCCAGAGGCCTCGCGCCTCCGCCTCCGGACCCGCCCCTCACTCCGCGCCAAGGAACCCAGGGGCTTGGGCCTAGGACCCTGACCCGCCAAGTTACAGGGGTAAGGAACCAAGGAGGGCTGCCCTTCTGTCTGGCTCCACGCAGCTCTCCACTATCTCTCTGGCCCCCAGCACCTAAACCTGTCTTCCCTGCTCGGTGTGCCTCGCCCTCCCTGCCAGGCTTCCTTGGCATCAGCTTGGCCCCCATTTCTGGAACACCTAAATCCGGGCACAGGGTAAGGGGGTTACTTCCGGAGTCGCAATGAGCAGGGTCCATAAGGACTGAACTCCTGCAATTATGGCCCCCTTTTACCGAGAGAAGGGCTCTACACCCTCTCCCCAATTCCTTAGGGCCATCTTTTAACGGAACATCAGCAACTACTGAGAGTTGGGGCCCCAGGGCCCTAGAGTTGGTGAGCAAAGGGAAGTTCTGCAGCTCCCCCCAGTGGACCAATTCCCCTGAGGTTACAGGACCTGGAATCTCAAGTCCTAGACTGTTAAAGCTAGAGGGGAACTTAGTGATCACCTACTGAAGAGGAAAGCTAGACTCAGAATTTTAGAGGTTTTGCCAAAGACCTCGTTGCCATTCGTCGCAGACCCAGGACAAACATGTAAGGTTCCCAGTTCAGAGAGCATTTCTTGGCCTGAAGGTGAACTCAAGACAAATGCAAAGTCTCTTCTGTCCCCTCTGAAAGCTTTGATGAGTCATGATTTCTGCCTTGGGAAGTAGCCAGACGTCCCTCTGTCTGTCTCCTTCCCTGCTGAATCTCCCCTTAAAAACTAAACTGGGGAACAATTTCTTTTATTTTTGGTACAAAATTTATTTGTGTTGATTTAAATCTTCCTTTTCCTCCTTTTCTCCTCCAAGTTTGCTTCCAGTGAGGCACCTGTGTAAAGCAGGTGTGACATGCAAAAGTTTGCAGAAAAACAATGAAGGCGGTTCCTGGAAACTCTGAAGCCATCTAGAGACAGAGTATGTGGTATTATATATTATTTTTGCAGTTGAGAACATGCTGAAGTTTTAAGATTATCCTTAAATGTACTATGGTTTTAATATATTTTCACTAGTTGTCTGTTCAGCCAGACCAGCCCCAACTTTACCTGTGAAAGGAAGGGCAGGGACATTTCTTTTCCATTATTTCTAAAACATTCTTCCTTACCAGTAATTTGTTAATTTATTTCCTTTCTTGCTGGAAGGATTCAGCCCTTCTTGAGTATGAATATTTACTTCCAGCTGCTGCTGTGATAACTCCATTTCTCCTTGGTTTACTATAGGCTGTTTTAGGAGAGCATCTTTTTTTTTTTTTTCTGATTCCACCCAAATTTCTTAATAGTAGTCAGGTTAACAGAGATTGACTATCTAGGGTTGTTGGTTTGCTTGGGACGAAGTGATCACTATCCAAGTAGGAAACAAATTCTTTTTCTCTTTGGATGGATTCCAGGTCTACCCAGTGGATGAAATTCCTACTGGGCCGAAATATGTGGGGTGGGAGAGGTTAAATAAAATCAAATTCATGTTTTGTATCAGCCCTGCTTTCGTTCTATGGCTGAGAGTAGTCTTTCCATGGTTTCAGAAGAGAGCTCAGTGTTCTTTTTTTCCTTTGTGTTTTTTCCTGCTAGTAAATTAAGCCTGAGGTCATTCTTTCTAGCTGTGCCTCTCTTATTGTAGTTATTGATCTTTGGAGTTGGAATGTTAATTTGCAATTCTCCCAGATGACAGAGGGAGTACTTTTGAAGGAGATAATTCAGGAAGCAGTATCCTATGCACATTCTCATCCCTGGAGAAGTCATTTCCTGTGTTTCTGTAATTATTTTCTGTAGAGGATGTTATATTGTAAATAAGGTGGAACTACAAGGCTTTACTCTTTAACTCTTTATGTTTGGTTGGTTTATAGACTCAATATGTATTGGAGAAGAAGAAAGGGCATGTAGGAAGTTTGCTCAGTAAAACAAGCACTGTTATTCAGTGAGGATGAGTCATAGCAAAATCTTTAAAATGACATTAACAGGTAGTTGAATTAAAAGATGCCCAAGTTCCGGGTGTTCCTAGTGTCCCGCTTACTTTAGACAGAATTGACACAAAAGTCAGTTTTTTTTTTAATTGAAAGAAAATATCTGTTCAGGAGAATTCACCTACCTTAAGCTTAACAATTTTTCACAAACTGAGTACACCTGTGTAACTAGTATGTGGATCAAGAAACAGCATTACCAACACACCAGAAATATTCTCATATGCCATTCCAGTTGCTGTCTTCCTCTAAGGTAACCACTGCTCTCACTTCTAACACGTCTGTTATCCTGTTTGTTTTTTTTAAATCTATGTAAATGGAATAATCCATTATGAACTCTTGGGTCTGACTTCTTTCACTTGACAGAAACTTTTAGTAGGTCAAATAATTGGAACTCCCCTTGAGAGATGATGGAACAGTTGGACTTGCAGAAATTAGTTGGTCAGGCACTACTTAATATAATAGAATTAAGGAAAACACTAATGAAACAAGCTATATTTTAAATATTGACAGCCTGGTTACGGAATCTGAACAAATACTAGTGACATGTCTGGTGGGACCCCAGTCCTGTATATATGAGCAGGAAAACACTGAGGAGTTCCCTCTACCTCAGCAATCCAGAAGTAGTCCGTACTGCTTATAATTTGAATATCATAGATATTATTTTAAAATTTAAAATGGTATTGCCAGTTATTTCACTTCATATATTCAGGCATTTTCTAGGTGAGGGCCATCAACCCCATAGTAAAAGAAGCCTGAGCTTAGTAGTGAACTATTTGTTTTGTATCTTTTAGCTAAGATTTTTCATTATTCACCAATATGCCAAGATAAAGGCAAGAATGATGTGCGTACCCCAAAAGGTATATTGTAAGATTTCTCTTTCTTTCTGGGGATTGAACCCAGGGTCTCATGTATGTTAGGCAAGTACTCTATCACTGAGCCACAACACCAGCCCCATGTCATAGGATTTCTATGTTGCTTTTCCTATTAGAGAAAGGAATAGATGAGTCATAGACTGAGAAACATGAAGCTGTAATTAAACTGGGTCTATAAGCTACAAAGCATGAGGTTCATGACTGTATGGTCATATCTCATTTATATTGCATTTATTTAGGCAATAAATAATAAATATAGGTTATGATTGTTCAACTCATACCATATTTCTGTGTAGATGGTCAGTACAATATTAATAATTTGAATATGATAAATATGTAAATGTAGTATTAAAAGACATGTTAAAAGTAGTCTGAAAACATAAATATATAGATATAGTATAAAACAATCTATGAAAATGTAAGAGCTTGGAAGAGTTCAAAGATAAATTAGAATAACTTCGAATATTAGTGAAATTAGAATTTAGACAGAGAGATGTAACATAGGCAAATAACTATAATGCAATGTAGAGAGGTATGAATGTTAAAAGAGGTTTATAAAGTAAAATACTTAACATTTATTGGGTCGTTTTATATAAGTCTCAGGCATTCTGCTAAGCATGTGACATGTATTTTCTCATTTATTATTCTATAATATTACAATCTATTCACAGAAGTGTAATTATCCCTATTTTACCTAAGATCAGAGATGTGGAGACTAAGAAAGTATCAGGGAGGGCTTAAGTGTGTATTTGGAGGGTGAACAGGATCTGGCGTTTGGGTAAAAGAGAACAAAAAGGAGAAAGGAGGGGAAAGACTATTGGGGTAGACTCTAAGGCAAGATGTATGATGGACAGAAATAAGGATCCACATATTCCACTTTGGGAACAAAATCAGAGATTTGTCTCTAAAGCTCGAAACCATGAAGGCTCTTCATAAATGAGGGTGGACTTGAGATGAAGAAAGCTATTGGGGCTGTTCTTGTCTGACATGATCTTTTCTAGGCTAAGAACATAAAGGCTGCAGATTCCTTTTGGGGGCAACAAGCCCTGGTGAACTACAGATGGGCAGATAGGATCATGGTGCAAGATCTGACCCTGTCCTAGGTTCCTTAATAGAGAGATCAGACTTTCTGAATATCAGTTGTTTATGCAGTTCTGAGCCAGATCTGTGAAGTTTCATTTCTAGGCCTACTGAATATTGTACATAGAGAACCAACCAGATGACAGGGCTGTGTATGAATTTTGTTATTCTTCTGTGTGAAGAAATGGATTAATGTTTTCCCAACCTTTACAGCATGACCAATAGATTCCACTTCTGTCTGTAACTTGGCTGAGTCATTCACAGAGGTTCAAAAAAATTTTTTTAATAAATATGTTGTCATGTTGGTTAAAAGCCTAGTCATTGTTGTGGACATTCATACTTCTACACTGATGTCAGTGCACATAATTTAACTTGTATAAAACTTCTGTCTACCAACAGCTAAAAATAGTTACATTGGTTGTCTTTAAGCAATAAATACACTGAAGGAAAGATATCACTCAGTTACATGTGTGATAGGAATGCTTTAGTATGCTTGAATATTTAGTTTAGGGAATGATTAGTTTTATTTTTACAATCTTCCATAGGTAGATGTTTTTACCCTTTTGAGAGGATTGTGATTTTTAGCTGTGAAAATAGCTATTTATGTGGACTCAATAGTAGGTTACACAGAACAAATGACAAAGAATGCTCTTTTTATTTTGCCATATTTTACTACCTGTGTACATCTTTGTGTGAGGATTTTCTTTTTAAAGAAAAATTCTCCAGCTAGTTACTTTGCTTTTATATTTTTGAAGAAGCCTTTGTGTTGGAAACCATGGCCATGTGGTACTCACTCTCTGCAATTCAGGTAATTAATTCAGAGGTGACATCATAGGGAATGTGTTCATTTTTCCATTTCAAATATTTCATCTCAGGATCTGATGGTTAACTCATATTAAGAACACATTTTGAAAAACTCAGTTCTCAAAGACAGTTATGTGTTAATTTAAACTTTTTTCTCTTTTGCATTTTAAGAACAGGGTTTTATACAGGGGAGACGGGTCATGTACTCTCTGCAGTGAGAAAGATCTAAAACTGCTATTCATTTTGATGTTGATTCTGTTAGCCCGTCAATCAATTATTACTTATTGAACACAATTGATCAATTTGATATTTATCAAGAGGCACAATGACAGCAATGGTAGAAATGTGGCTTTACATTATTTAATTTTTATATCTTATAAAGCTAAAAGATAAAACTTTTAGATCTTTCCCTCAATACATCCCTATTTTGGTATTTATTTTTTGTCAATTGTTCAACTCATTCTATGCCTGAAACTGTTCTTTGTAGCTATTTGTGTAGGCAACGAGTTCAAATGTTTTTATAACAGTGGCTATTATTCTGTTTTGACTGTGGCCCACCATAAAATGCAAATTTTATCATAACCCAGAGCATACTGTCTGCATACAGATATGAAGACATGTATACTCATAAACAACTGAAATAAAACCATACTTGATCATTAATATACATTGGAATATTATGTTAACTTATGTTTTATTCTAGTTGGTTCTATTTCATTAAAAAATGCTTTCCCTGTTGAATAATTGATTCGTGGACCACCAATGGATTGCAATCCAGTTTGAAAAACACTGCTGCAGAGAGAGCACTTTGTTAAAAGATTGGTCTAGGGGCTTAGAATATAGTCATACCTAGACAGGGCCAAGGTGTTGTTATCTTTCTGAATTTATTTGTTTAGCCTAAAAATCTTTTTGGTTCAAGTTCATTCTCATTTTGAATGATTTCTTTTGGTTGACCAAGGGAAATCCCTAATCATCCCCCTCTCCTTTGCCATTTTTGGTAGGGCCACAGCTTTCTAGACCTTTCTGTACTCATTGATGAGTTAATGACTGAGGCAAAGTAAGTGAAACACTTCCAAGTAATTACTATTAAAATGAATGACATTTAGTAAACTAGGAGGATATGAGAGTTATATAGGTATACTGAAGTGTGGAAAGTGGATTCTAAGAGAGGTTATTGAACTTTTTAAATTGCCCTCCAGCAGTAT